GTGTTGATTTGCAGCTCAATGAGTTCTCAATTTTGCCTTAAATAAAATCACAATCAACTCAGGGGATAAAAAGAGAAACCAGATGAGGCTGTTTTGTACAGTCAATAACATAGCCTCTATTTAGAGGGCTTTTATATAGGTTTTCTGACCCAGTTCCACTGATAGAACTGTGAATAGGTCATGTTGACTATGGCATCAACAGAGTTGCATTGAATCAATTTTGTTTCTTTCCAAAGTTGAAGTAGTTCAAAGAGTTCATGCTAAGAGACTCTGGTGCTAATAAATAACACTATCGTTGGCATTAATTGGGTGATCACTTTAGGTAAGACAGCTTGCTAAGTGTTTTACTGGCATTATTTTACTTAATCCTCACAATGGCCCAATGAAGTATACCCATTGCTTACATATATAAGTTGTTGTTGTTTTTTTCCAAATGACTTCACTAGTAGTTGTTTAGGCTGGGACTTTGTTCATGATATTGCAAGTCCCTCTAGAACACTTTGTAATTAGTCCAATTGACTTCAGTGTTTCCTGATGCCGGATCAAGCTATGTCCCCTTTAGTTTTCACATTGCTAGTCTGTGGCCCAGCTGAGATTTGAACCTGTGCATGTCCTTCCAATACCAGAGCCCATGCTTTTAGCCCATTATGCCGGTGGTTTCCCATTACTAAAACACTAAACATAATTAGGTGGAAGATTGTCTGGTAGTTCCTCAAAAAATTAAAGAATTACCATAGGATCTAAAAGTTCCACTTCCAAGTACATATAACTAAAATAATTGAGAACAGGGACTCAAGTATTTGCTCACCAATGTTCATAGCAGTCAAATTCACAGTAGTCAAAAGATGGGAACCATCAAATGTCCACCAGTGGATGAAAGAATAAACAAAATGTTGTATACATACACAGTGGAATATTATTCAGCCTTAAAAAGGAATAAAATTCTGATACATGCCACAACATGAATAAACCTTGAAAACATTGGATAAGTGAAATAAGCCGGACAAATATTATGAGGGACCTAGAATAGTCAAATTCATAGGGACAGAAAGTTGAATGGCTTGCCCTAACCGGTTTGGCTCAGTGGAAAGAGTGTCGGCCTGCGGACTCAAGGGTCCCAGGTTTGATTCCGGTCAAGGGCATGTACCTTGGTTACGGGCACATCCCCAGGAGGGAGTGTGCAGGAGGCAGCTGATCAGTGTTTCTCTCTCATCGATGTTTCTAACTCTCTATCCCTCTCCCTTCCTCTCTGTAATTTGGGGAAAAGAGGGAATGGGGTGTTATTGTTTAGTGGGGACGCAGTTTTAGTTTGGAAAGGTGAAAAAGTTCTAGATGGTGGTGATGGTTGCCCAAATGGGAATATACTCAATGCCACTGAACTGTGCACTTAAAAATGGTTAAAATGGCACAGTGTGTTATATATATTTTATCATAATAAAATAAGTAATTAGGACTTAGGTTTGTGCTAAAATATAAAAGTGAGAGCCCCAGAACAGAACAATAGTATAATTTGAGATCTACTTTGTAAAAGTTGACTTAACATTAACCAAATAAGCAAACCTTATTGTGTCTAACAGTACTATAAGCTTACACTTTGTTTTCATTAAATAAAGACCTATATAAGTAGCGAAGAGAAAAATTCTTTCAGGATCACTATCAGATGGAACAACACAAAAATCAAAGTGTCAGGATGAATTCTAGTGAGAACAGCTTATCTCAAGGGACATCCAATAACATCTTATCTTATTCCTTAATTACCTTCCATGTGAACCAAAACACTTTCCATGAGAAACAAATATTGAAATATTACCGGGGAAAATCGGTTTGAATATTCTTCAAAGCAATGTTGGGAATAGTAAACACTTTGAAGGAAATATTGCATACTTTTTCATCATCACATATTGGGATTCTCTTCAGCAATATTTTTAAAATAATTAAATTGGCTCATTTGGTGCCCTAGATTCTGGCCCGATTTGATTATTTACATTAAAAAATGGACATCAAAATAATATAAGCATTAATGTGAATTGATTAGCCAGTGCTTTTTTCTTTGTTGTTTTTGTTTCTTGGTTGGAAGCTTCACAGCAATCAAATAAAATTTACCTTGTGCTCCATCCAGAGCTATAAAAGGAGCCAAATCAACTTTATGAGATGCATTGATTTAAAAATTAGCTTTATATATGCAAACTCATGGTCATCAGATAGCCAACTATTCAATCCCAATTTTGTCATTGATTGGACTTTGGATTTGCTTTTTTCCTGTACTTGAACTATTCTTCTTGTCATTGCCTGAGTGGCTCCTCTTCACCTTTTCCAACTCAAATGTCACCTTCTCAGAGACGCCACACCGACCATACCCTATCTATCATGGTCTCCACCATCAGCCTGTCACTCTTCATAAGATCACTCTGACTTATTTCCTTGGAGTGAGCACTTTAACGTTCTCTGAAGTTATCTGGATTTTTTATTTGTCTATTGTTTGTCTTCTCCACAAGGGCAGGGCGTGGCCATCTCGTTTTCTATTCTATTCCTCATCCGAACAGAGTGACAGGCTCATAGTAGCTGGAGTTGCCCTTCAGTTTCTGCCTTGCAGCTGTGTATATGAGTGGACTCACAGCCTTGTCCCCTGGGAAGCACAGACTGTTCTGCTCAGCTCTTCTTTTTACGGGTGCTGCCGTGGGATCGTCTCATTGGGCTGGGGAGGTTGGACAACAAAAAAGTGGCAGCCTAGAGGGTTTTGAGAAAGAACTGCTTGCTCCTTAAACCTGACTCCACCCTAACCCTAACTCTCCAGAGTTCCTTGCAGGTATTTATGAAGTGTTGCCTTATTTCCCATTGGTCACACTTTCTTACTCTTAACTTCCTTGGGCACCCCATGAGAAGAAGGGCTGGCTGAATTAAAGAGGATTTAGTCATTTCTATGTTTGCTCTTTCTAATGCCATCCTAATACCTTAATACAGCTGTTCTCAACCTGTGGGTTGCGACCCCTTTGGCGGTCGAATGACCCTTTCACAGGGTTCGCCTAAGACCATCCTGCATATCAGATATTTACATTACGATTCATAACAGTAGCAAAATGACAGTTATGAAGTAGCAACAAAAATAATTTTATGGTTGGATCACAACATGAGGAACTGTTTTAAAGGGCCAGAAGGTTGAGAACCACTGCCTTAATATGACACATATCCTTAGCAACTTATAAGCATGAAGCTGGCCTCTCTTTCCTATTCTGTTCTCTGAGGACCAGCCCCATGCACAGCATTAGCTCTGAATCCATAGGGAGGATAGTTAACCAAATGAATAAAATCCAAGGCAACTTGTCTTCCCATTTTAGAGATGGAAAAATCAAGTACCATCACTGGTCTCTAGATCCTTGCCTTTGCTACTTGAGAAAGCAAAGCAAAGCAATAGAAATTAAGAGTGGAAAAAATTTCTTAAGACCATTTCTAACTCTATAATTTCAGGGTTCCAATACAATATTTTGTGCCTCTAAATTACTAGTGAATAGCTGGGATCAAATATTTTGTTTTTAAAAGGGTCAATCCAAAGTCTCAAAAACTTAGATTGTAGCAGGCTTCTGGTATGCCCCACAACCATGGCAAACTGCTAATTCTTCCTGGGGAACTAAACAACACCTTATTTTGAGAAGGTTCATGGCCATACAAGATAAATAAATTTCCATGTCCCTGGTAACTAGGTATGTGCATGTGAATGAAAGTGACCAGCTATAGCCAGATCATGTGCTTCAAAGGAGTGGGCACAGCCTTCCCCTCCCCCTTCTACTGCTGGCATTTGGAAGTGGTGGTGAGCCATCCAGAGGCACCAGGAGAGAGTAAGACTCTAGGGATGGAAAGAGAATGAGAGAAATCAGCTTTTCAGAGTCACAATTCCTAACCTTCTAGAGCCACATATCACCTATTACTTATGCCTAGATTGTTACATAATAAAGAAAGCATGTCCGTCTTGTCTAAGCCACTGATATTCAGTTTCCCTTCCAGCAGTCAAATGTCCATTTTAACACAACTTTCCTTAATGATTTTGATACTGCATCATCATGTTTGCAAATTGGTTTGAGGATCTCAAAATGGTAAACTTTTTGAGTTAAAAAAAAGACCTTAAAAAAGACCTTCACGATCAGCCTATCCTTCACTTAACTGATGATGAAACTGAAGAGGGAATAATTCTCGAGCCACACAGGTGGCTTGTAATAGGCCTGGTGCTCAGATTTTCTGAATTTCATTCATTCTTCTTTTCCTTTAAGGCCCATTAGCAGAACTCCCTGGAAATGACTCTGGGGGCTCCCTCTGGGAAGCCTGGACAACTTACTAGCAGGGGATTTCTTTTTCCCAGACAACACATAAACAGCTGCTACCCTGCATGCACTGATGAGGCTGCTCTGACTCCCACTATGGGAAGGAAGAATCACCAGGCCCTTGCCTGGTTTTGGCACGACTCATGGTGGGGTGACGGGAGAATCAGGATCCATGCTTCTTACTGCTTTTCTTGCTGAGTCTGGCCTTGAAAGTTTTCCACCAATTCTTTTTCCTGTGACCTAGCATTGTGGAATTGGTCTAGGACCCCAGATTTTGGCAGTTAGAGGCTCAGAGAACACCTACGTAATGACTTCATTCTATACTATGAGTATGCGTTATCGTTCACATGTAATTTGATAATATAAGAAATGTTCTATAATAACTAGCAGTAGGTAGTAGTAATTTCAACTGTCAAGGGAACAGCATAGAGAACAAACAAATCATTTCACTTCAAGGTCTTCTACTGACCAAGTGCCCAACAGCCCCCTTTGGACATAGGGCATTGGTACAGTCACGATTAAGACAGCTGCCTGAAGTCCCATGGAAAGTGGTAAAATCTAACTGTGAGCGTACAAGGTTCTTGGGCTCACCCTTGCAGTACATTAAAATATACTTAAGAAACTAAGAGCTTATTTGGAATTGTGCAAAAGTCTACCTATTATGCACAACCACCACACATTGCTTACCATCCTCATTTTCATCAAAAACTGGGGGTTTGCTTGAAGTATTGGCTCCCATGGTTGTCTGCTCAGACCTGGATCCTCCAGTTACATAATCCTGGCAGAAACATTCATCTCCGCTCAAAAGAGGTCTGGATGCCTTAGCTAGATATCAAGGAGAGAACAAGAAATGATGGCCTTGTAATACCGTACAAATGGCATACTCTAGTACCCTGAGTGCAGACTGTGGCTGAAATGTTCATTTGTACCACTCTGGTGAAATTTTTTGTACTTGAAAATAATTTCAGCAGTAACAGAGAACATTAAGCATCTGGGAGAAGCCACTTCACAGACTCATTAGTAGTGGACCTAGACTTACAAAGAAGGAGCAAAGCGAAATATGTTTGAAGTATGAAGACAAGTTTAAAATGAGGTCAGCAGTGCTTTAACAACTATAAAATAAAAATAAGATTTTATTGTGACTCTCCATATGTTTGAGAAAAATATGCTGATTTAAAAAATTTTTTTGATGTGTGATCAACAACTTTAATTTCTTTTTTAATTGTAAATAATACATTCCCTCTCTCTTTTCTCTGACCCTGGAAGGTACTACAATATAAAAGGAACAAGGGCTGAGTTTGGGCTTTGCCACCCCAGGAAGTTGCTAACTTTTACTCAACATGTTTCTTTTTTCCCTTCCCCTGAACTTGATCATGGTCCTTACTGCCAAGGGAGATTAAATGTTTAATGAGATAATATGTAAAGTATTTTCACAGCGTAAGTGCTCAATAATTATTAGTTACTCTAAAGCTCAAATTAAGTAATGTATGTGAGAGCTAAAAAGCCCTGGAAAACATATGCACTATGGCTTTTTTTGTTTCATTCCTAAACCCAGTCGTAAAGAATTTTACTCTCCTGCCCTGACCAGGTGACTCAGTTGGTTGGAGCATTGTCCTGAACACCAAGTTTATGGGCTCGATTCCTGGTTAGGGCATGTACCTAGGTTGCGGGTTCCATCCCCGCTCAGGGTGTGTACAGGAGGCAATCGATGGATATTTTTATCTCATATAGGTGTTTCTCTCTGTCTTCCTCTCTCTCTCTAAAATCAGTAACCATATCCTCAGGTGACGAAAAAGAGAATTTTACTTTCCCTGAAATTGGTAAAAAGAGGCAGCATCCAGAGTTCTGGTTCTAAAACTGACGCGGAGAATGGCTCTGAGCCGGTGACTTCACCCCTCACCTGTAACATGGGGAAAATGACAGTGCCTTCCTCAGGAATCACAGGCTCAGATGCCTACCAGAGCCAGGCAGAAATGCAAATGAGCTCACCAACCCAGGCAGAAGACAGTGTGACCGGTGGGAACACTGGCAACCTGGAGGATCCAGGCTCCACCAAAAAGAGGCTACTGCCCTCAAATCTAAGAGAGTGCTGCCATGTGGAAACATGGGTCCAGAGCTAGCCTTTCAGATCTACCACAAATGGGTGAAGCTAGTGATTTTATACAAATTATTTCCAATATTCATTTTTAGCTATATGGCTTGAGCTACTCACAAGCAGGGGACACAAAGGGCCCATGCACAGAATAAATGTTAGCTACTGATATTTTTAATAGTAGCAGGATTTCCTTATCATGTATGATTTTTTAATTGATTTTTAGAGAAGGAAAGGGAGAGCGAGAGAAAAAAACATGGGTGTGTTGTTCCATATATTTATGCATTCATTTAATTTGACTCCTGCGGACTGATTTCCTCTTGGACGTTTTCTGAGATGAAGGAAATACAGAGTAGAGACATCATTGAGGAAAGTCTCCCAAGGGAACCTGCCCTAAGGATGTTATTGAAAAAGAACTTGAGAAACCCCTAAACAAGCCTAGAAGAAAAGCTTATTTTCCTGTGAGGAAAATGTAAGTCAAGCCCTCATGTGGAAGGCAGACTCATTAAAGAAATTCTACTTTTCATACTAAAAGCCAGCTGCTGGCAAAGCGCCTTCTGAACTTTAAAAAGAATCTTTAAACAAAGAGCAAAGAAAGAGTCAGCAATTAGGAAGCAACCCATTAAATGGCCTGGGAGAGGGGCTGGAAGGGCTGGAGGGGCAGGTGGTAACAGGTGGCCGGAGGAAGCCCGGGGGATTATTGAGCTCAGGGAGATAGAAAGAACTCAACTGTCTCTCCAGGCTGAAAAAAACAAAGAGCTTTTAATTCCCTCGGGAAAGGGAGTAGGAAGAAGCCTTAGTGTTTCCTTGTGGGCTAGGAAGAAGGATGGGGGTGCCCTGTGCATTCTATTATTGCATCCAGAGTCCCGAATAAGTGGGGACTAGTGTCAGGGCTGAACCACAGATGACATTTGAGAAGATTGATCCTAAAGAGAACATTGATTTTAAGGAATTGCGATTGTTAACACAGCGGGGGTTGCGGGGGGGGGAGGGGCTATACTCTCTTTTATTTTTTTATGTGAGGCCTCAAGTTTTCCCACCACACCCCACCCTGTCATTCTTACATAGGCTCTTCACACCTCAGGCTTCTCTCGAGTAGCCTATCTTCTGCAGCCAAGCATTGACCTTGCAAGTTGTCAAATCAGAAAGCAAAAGAGAGAGGAATATTACCGCAACTTGCCACATTTCAGAAGTTCATTTTGATGTGCAATTTTGTTCACCGAAGATGCGGTGATTTTTAGCAGGAAGAAACTATGTAGACAGGGAAGGGAAAGGCGGATGGAATGATTAGGTGGTGGCTTCTCCGTTGCACTTAACATACCCAATCCAATTTAGAATTGGCTTTCTCTTCTTCTCCCCATGTGGATAATCAAATTAGGCAACTTTCCCTCGCATCCAGAAAGAAATCAACCTTTCTCTGCTAGGAAAATAGGGACACATTTCCCCCCCATTCTACTGAAGTACGGCCCAGAAGAGCTATAGGGCTCTCTTCTACCAAACCTAACACCCTCCTCACCTCCTGGTACTAAGTCTGCAGTGTCAAATAAGTTTCATTTCAAAATGTCAAGAGGGCAGTCACCACCCATGGAAATGAACCTCCTCAACACAGGAAATACAAGAGAGAGAACAATGCGGTTTATAAGAATACAGAAAACTTGCAGATTCTACCTTGACCTGTTACCAGACTATTAATTGCAGCCTCCTTCTCTGATGCCAGCATTTGACCTTGGGCTTATATTTTGGGGGCTGTCAATAGGGGAGCTTTTGTAAGGGCTCCCTCGGTGCAGAGGTGTCATCTTCAGGAATTGAGGAACCTAAGTTGTAATGCAAGAAAGTTGCAACTTCTGACAAAACTGTACGTCTCATTGCCAAGGCATCGCATAGACATAATGTATTGTGTTTGCACTTGAAAAACAGAACGTCTTAAACTGGGAATTATGTAGAACCAGAGGGAAGAAAGAAAATATTAAAAAAACACCCAAGTTAACGGTGCCCTCCGTTATATTGTTTCCGTTTCATCATCTTTGCTTCGTCATCTGTATGTATTCAGAATTCTAGGTAAAACATTACCTCCACCTTCACCCTCATGCCAAATCCATTCCCCTTGTATGCTGCCCAGACAGCCACAATCATGGATCTGGGACACATTTTACAGTCCACTTTCTATGATTTTACAATATGACATGTGTTTTAAAGTAAGTCACCTAAATGACATCCTAAAGTAGGTATATTTTTGCACCTGATGCTCATTTACTTTTATCCCTCTGCCATCTAGGCATGCTGACCCCCACAGCCCTGACTTCTGCTTGTGAAGTGCTGCATAGCAGGCCATGGTGTGAAACATACCACATTTTTAATTGTCTGTGTTCAAATCCTTCCGCTCTGGGGGGAGGAATCCTGGTGGAGATGAAGCCAACCATCAAAGGCAGTTTCTGCTTGATTAGAGGCTGAGTGAGAGAAACAAGCAGAAATGCTCCCAGCGCTTGTCTCCACCCAGCAAATACTCGCTGAAGTCGGTGTGTGTCTGGACCCGGGTCAGTGGGAGGCTGGGGGACCTGTGGGGTGCAGAGTAGCCAGGGAGCGAGGACTGGTCCCAGCCCTATCTGGTTGTGGTGGGTTGTCTGGACCGCCTGCCTTTGTCTTATTTCTCTTCCCTTTTAACTTCCTAGCTTCCCAACAGTGCGTGCCCTTAGCATGTAAGTTAGTAACAAGAAAAGGAAAAATCGAGGCCACCACTCACCTAGATCTGGCTTCTCCCTTCTCGCCTTCCAAGAAGCTGGGACTGGTGCTTCCGCCCGGGGAGCAGGGGTAACACGGGAACCCCCAGAAACGCGGAGAGAGCAGCGCGCAGGGGTGGCCACGGGGACGGGGCTGGGCTGGGCGGGAGCGCGGCACCTGCTGGCTGCCGAGGGGTCCAAGTGCCGCCAAGTGCGCAGCTCCCCGTAGAGGGGCGGTTCCGGGCTGACCCAGGGGGAGGGTTGGAGAGTGGGGTGCGGAGGGGAGCAGGGAGCAGCCAGCCAGCGGACGCCCCGATCGGATCGGAGCCTGTTCCCAGAAACGGAGCGCAGTCGCCCGGGTCCGTGCGGGAAGACCGCTGCGGGCGGGGCTGGGAGCTGGCAGCTGGGGACGCCGCTGGGATGCAGAGCGCGCCCCAACTTCCCGGGCCGAGGCCCAGTTCCCCTGAAGTGACCCCCTTCCCGTCCAAGAGACCTGGGCGATGCCACAGCGGGTGGGTGGATGCCGGGGGTGGCGGGTAATGAGCCTGCAGATCCGAGGTGAAGAAAGGCAAGCTTCCCTTTTAGACGTCCGTCCTCAGGGTATGACTGGGAGGAGGGGGGATCCGAGACAGGACTGAGAATTATGTAGGTCCCGGCAAGAAGGATCTCTTAACAGTTAGAATCTAGCAGACTTCCTCGGGCTACTGCTGGGGAAACTGAGGCACACAGGAGGAAACTACTTGCCCCGTGTGGCGTAACAATTCATAGAGAGGATCTTTTGTGGACCCAGGTCTCCTGGCTCCTCCTCGGTGGGTAGAGGGGCGGGCAGGGTCAGAGGCTCAGAGGTGAAGGCAGCTCCCTGGAAGTGTGTACGTTCTGTCCCATGAGTGCCTTGTGCCTCCCTTTGTACAAACCAACACGATTGAAGTAGCTTCTTTCAGTTTTCCCTCTATCACACAGCGTAGTCACCGGAGAGCGAGCCCTGGGTGGCTTACTGAGACGGCTGAAGTGTGGGGTGGGCAGTGGTGAGGGTGGGGTGGTCCGGCTTCTGTTCGGTTCCAGCATTTCCCTGCCATGTGCAAATGCCAGCCCAGCGTTGCCAACTATTCCTGTTTTAAAAGAGTAGCTGGAAAAGAGACGGTCTGTGCGAAATCTCCCATTATATTTAAACACTGGCAAGTTTCACAAACGTTGGAAACCGTGTGCGTGTCGGAGGAGATGCGTCTGTGGTTGGAAGTCTTTTTCAGGCTCCAACGTTTTGATCTGTTGATGTAGAAGTTCCACAGGGGGCAGGAGCCAGACGGGCTTTGTTCACGTTTTCAGGACCAGCCCCTAGAATGGTGTCTGCTGCACCCCAAATACCAGTGACCACCCGAGGGTCAAGAGCCCCGTAATTCACTCATTAAATATTGCGGAGTCATTCCCTTGTTATGTTATGACCTAGCCCTTTTCCTCAGCCATGGGCAGCATTCCACCCTAGTACTTTACAATAGGAATAACCTTGAACTTCAATGAACCCACTCTCTCATTTTGCATTTGGGGTTCTGAGAGAGGGATTTGCCCAAAGCCACAGGGTGAGTTAGTGGCAGAGCTCAGTAGAAATTTACCTATGTTGCCAACTCCTGTCTGAGAGAGGATCAGATGACAGAAATGAACATTTCATGTGGAATTTGGGTCAAGTTGCAAGAGAGGGCAACCAAGTTCAGAAAACAGAAAAGAATTTTTAAGGAATTCATTTTGGGGACAGGGTGTTCTTTTGAAAGCAAACATCAGTCACCTAGCTGAAAATACTTTGTTTTTGTGTGACCTCTGGTAGCTTACAACACATTTTGATTACCTTTCTGGCACTAGGGATGCTATGCTCTGCAAATGTGTTGTACCTGTGTTGTCTCCCACCTCCCCTCAGGCAACAATGATATGCATTTTATCACTGAGAAAACTAAAATGGCAAGAAAGTGGGCTGAGACTAGAATGGAAGTCTCTGGAATTCTCTTTCTTTTAGTGTCCTGGTTAGCACGAAGGGCTTTGGAGTCAGAAGTCTTTTGTGCAAATGCCAGCTCCACCACTGAATACATCTGAGATGTTTGGCCAAGTCACTTTGAGGCCCTGAGCAGCCTCAGTTTTCCAGCTTCGGTAGAGGGGATCATGGTCATTCCTACCAGCTGTGAGTGATGGAGGACTGAATGAGATGATGTAAATAATAATGCACTTAGCATGGCGTTAGCACAGAGTAAACACTCAGAAACTGTCAACAGTTAAGGTTGTCACTAATTGGCAGGTTTGCAGGGTCTGCCCTAGTAATTTTCAGATTGGTTCTATAAATCTTTCTGCTGTTTGTACAATCACTTCCACTTAAAATAAAAACTATTCATCAGTCCTAGTGAATTTAGCCATGTGAAGGCTTGGCATCCCATAGGTTTTATGGAGAAATAGTGATTCTTATTACTGTATCTTATGCAGTCCATCAAAGGCGGACCTGTGTCAAAGAGCTGATTGTGTTTTAATCCTTTATCTCTTTGGTTGCTCATACTCTCTTGTCAGTATTGCTTATCTTAAACATAGCTTTTGGAGGGACTCTAAGGAGACCATCCCAGAGACGTTGCTCAGGTGACTAACCAGGCTAGATACTTATTACAAACTCTGGAGCCCCCCAGTGGAGAGGAGAGGGAAGTGAAAAGTAAAGCAGTGAGAAAGTCTTGCCCAGACAGATTGCCAGAATTAAACAAAAAAAAAGTTCATATTGTTGCCTGTTTCTATGACTTTTTTCTTAATCCCTTCACCCTTCTCACCCAGCCCCCACCCCCCTCCCCTCTGACAGCTGTCAGTCTGTTCTCTGTATCCGTGAGTCTGTCTCCACTTTGTGTATATGGTGATTGCCAGAGGAAGGAGGCATGGGGGAGGTAGAAGAGGGTAAAGATGAATAAATGGTGATGAAAGGAGACTTGACCTGGGGTGGTGAACACACAGGACAGTATACAGATGACGTATTGTAGAATTATATACCTGAAACCTATATAATTTTATTAACCAATGTCCACCACAATAAATTCAATTAAGAAAAGAAATATTATGAAAAGTAAATTGTTATGCAAAGAATAAATAATTCTATGTTAAGTCCAGGAGTAATAAATATGTGAAGGAATATTTGCCAGGAAACATCGTTTCCAGTGCAACATAAAAAAAGCTTAACTAGAAAAGAATCATGTCTTATAACATAAACATTAATGCCACACCAATCCAACCATGCCCACTCGTGGCTTGAAGATGTCCACTGGTTCCAATGGGTTTAGAACTAAGTGACTCCCCACTCCAGCTTACAAGGCCTTCTTCGTCTATCCCAAGCCAGTGTGTCCAACTCCATCTACAATCAGTGTTCCTGGGTTCACTGCCCTCTAGCCACACGGCTCTCTGCTCTTTGCAGATCATGCTGGCCTTGTCCCCACCCCAGGACATTTGAATGTCTCTTCTTTATGGATGGACACAGTTCTGGAGTCTTCATCACTCAGCTGTCAGCTCACATTTCTCCAGCTCTAAGAGACCTTCCCTCAACTCGTTATCTGAAGTTACTTCCCCAACACTTCCTCCATTCTCAGTTACACACTCTCTCATCTCCCATCTTCCCACTCATCATAAACTGTCATTAATTGGCTTATGTCACTTCTTTACTGTTTCCTACCATTGAATGCAGATCTCATGAGAGCAGGAATGACACCCCTATATATCCAGTGCTTAACCAGTGTTTGGAACATAGACAATACTTAATTAGATAACTAAATATTTGCTACTTCTATCATTCTTCTCATTTCTTTTTTTTCAATCTTTATTGTTGAGATTATTACAGATGCCCCTCTTTTTTATCCCCATTACCTACCTCCACCCAGTTCCCACCCCACTCCAGACCTTAGCCACGCTATTGTCTGTGTCCATAGGTACTAGTATATGTATATAAGACCTTTGTTTAATCTCTTACTGCCCCCCTACCCCTCTTCCCTCTGACAATTGTCAGTTTGTTCCATTTCCATGTCTCTGATTCTATTTTATTCACCAGTTTATTCTGTTCATTAGAATTCTCTTTGCTCCTCTCAAAGCACACCCCATCTAATGCTCATCCAAGAAAGGATACAGGTGGTTCTCAGGAACACCTGTCCTGGTTTTCTCAAATTCTATCAAATCCATCATTTTCTACATTCCTGGGTATGGGCTGGCATTTTAACAGATTACAATACTGAACAATGAAAAAGGAATCAAAGAAAGAGAAAATGTGCATTTCGTGTTCTTGTATCCCAAAGTAGGCCAAACCTGCTGAATGCTAAATGCATGAAGCTAACTTCTGAATCAAAATTCTGTTCTGTAAACCCTGTTGTTGTATTATTGGGTTTGAAGTCATTTAAAATATATTCATTTTAGGATGCCCATCTTTTGGTGAGTGCTTCTATAGAAATTGTTAATAAATTGGCTTCTATAGAAAATGGCTCAGGACCTACAGAATGGTGATAAAGATCCAGCATTTTGAAAGGAGCCTTTTAGAAAAACCAGATGGAATAACTTGAAGTGAATCACTAAAGCAATTTGAGTGTACCTGTCGTAGTCAAAGAAGTGTGTTTTCAAAAAGTGTCTGTAAATTGTTCAGATCATCATGACACAGTTCACAATAACTTATTTGAAGAAATTTCCAAATGTGAAACACTGTCCTTTGGTGTACTTAAAGTCCACATGATTTTAGTGACAACCCAAGAAAGGGTCTTATTATCCTTGGTGGTGTCTGTCTTGCTCTAAGTAGCAATCATCATCATCATCATCATCATCATCATCATCATCATCATCTACACTAATAAAAGACAAACATGCAAATTGACCATACCTTCACTACTCCTTAAGCCACGCCCACCAGCCAATCAGAGCGACTATATGCAAATTAACCCAACCAAGATGGCAGCCGGCAGCCATGGAGCTGGAGCTAGCAGGAGGCTTGGTTACCCCAATGATGGAGGAAGCCAAGCTTCCTGCCTGCTGGCCGGCTCTGAGCTCCACTCAAAGCAACAAAGTTTCAATTATAGAAGGTAAATAAATCCCAGAATAAAAAGAAAAAGAAAAAAAGGAGAGGCTGGGAGCTTCCGTCACCAGGGGGCTTGGCCAGCCTGCCAGGCACCCCAGTGGGGACCCCCCACCCTAAAGGGGGGTGTGGCCAGCCTGAAAACAGCCATCAACCCCTCACCCAGGCTGGCCAAACCTCCATGGGGTGAGGGTCCCCACTTTTGGGGGGGGGACTTGACCAGCCTGCAAACAGCCATCAGCCCCTCACCCAGGCTGGCCAGGCACCCCAGCGGGACCCCCACCCTGATCTGGGACACCCTTCAGTGCAAACCAGCCGGCCCCCACCAATGCACCAGGCCTCTATCCTATATAATAAAAGGGTAATATGCAAACTGACTCTAACAGCAGAACGACTGGGAATGACTGGTCACTATGACACA